TATGAAAAAATTGTGTGATATCTACAAGGGAGCTGTGGAATTCAGACCAATCATGTTATAGCTTAAAGAAAGTGCTGTTTGGTTTGTTGTTTTGTGTTTTAAATGAGTTTGCATTAACCCACCTGTGCATTATGTCCCAGCTGTAGGAGACCAGCTGGCTCATCAGTCATTGGCTTTGCTTTAGACAACCAGTGTGTTTGAGCTCTGTCTTTCCAAAACCCAGCTCAGTGAGACTTGAGGATTGTGGACTGAACTCTTCTCATTAAGAGGAGCTGTTTGTTGTGAAGTGTCAGTAGTTTGTTAAAACTGCTCATGCAACTTGTTAAAACCCAGATGTGTCAGTCCGGGTTCCCTTAAAAAAAAAAAAAAAAGATTTCAGAAAAATCTGATTGCTTTTAAACCTGCCATTATTGGGCTGCATGATGATGATGATGAAGAAAAATGTTTTAAGGAGGTCTGAGAAAAACATTGAAAAGGGAACTTAGTGCGTCAGCTGCCATCCACAGCATTTAACTTTTAGTTTTATTTTCTTTGATCATTTGGTAATATTTCAAAAACAACCGGATGTTCTTGCTTTTGTACATGTGTGAAGATGAATAAAATTAACTGAGAGACATTTAGGTCATTTTGTTGGTTTTGCATTTGTTCACCTGATTGTAGCAGGAACATCCAGGAGTGTTTCTCCCGTACACACTTCAGGGGAAGAGTCACACATTTATTTCTCCATTTCAGAAGTCTCGGTGGAGACGGACCAACTCAGTCCATCGTCATTTTGACTTTATTCCCATCTGTTTTATTTCTTTTCCTTGTGGCACTGGAGTTCAGTGCAGACTGGCATTTAATGTTTTTTTTTTTAAACTACTGTTGATTTGTCCAGCCTTAAACAACTGTAGTTGCTATGCACAGATAAAAAAATAAAATAAAATAAATGTTATCACTAAACATTTAGCGGAACAGGACGAGTGTTGCAGATGATGGGTGGATTTTGCAGAACCGAAGGGAGATGAGTGGTCTTGTCTGTTGATTGGGTCAAACCCAGAAACGGTTTGACTGGCTTTGGAAAAAGCTTCTGTCACCAGGAACTTGATTAATGAAAACATTCTTGGCAAATGCTTTCGCTTTCGTCCGTCTTGCGCCGGTCCAAGAATTTCACCTCTAGCGGCACAATACGAATGCCCCCGGCCGTCCCTCTTAATCATGGCCCCAGTTCAGAGAGAAAACCCACAAAATAGAACCGGGAAACTTTAAACCAGCATTAAGGTGGAAAGGTTTCCATTGTTATGCATGATGACGGACTTTCCTGCAGTGGAATCCAAATTCTGAAGGTAATTATTATTATTTGCTTGTATTTCAGACCAAGTTTGGTTTTGAAAATCTTAGTCTGACTGCACAGAGTGTCTGCAGGTTGATTCCATGTTCAAGAACATTTGTCTCAACTGGAGCAAGAACCAAAGCTCAGAGTGGATCCACCTCTTTTCCTCCCGTAACTCAGTGTTCC